GAGAACCACACGGTTTATCTAACGAACACGAAATGTGTTGATCGTAACAACCAGACTTGAGAAGATGCAAACCACGCTTTCATCGCGACAGCATTGCTTAAGTTGTTAGACTTGTACCCGTTTAGCTTTATTTATGAAATTAAGACTGAAGAATTTACTCATCAACTTACGAATCAACTCATCTGGATATCACTCAATCAAGGGCGAACTCGACTTGATGGGGTCGAACTCGAAAAGTGTGGGGGCGAACACGGTATAAGGTAGGGGCGAACCCGAAGGGGCGAACTCGATAGAGGGCGAAAGCGGCGGATACCCTGCAGACATATTCATGTCAGTGTCAGTGTTAGTGCCATATGTGACAGCAAAGACCTCAAGAAATAGCAACTACTGTGCCAAGGTGTTGTCATCAATAGATATTAAATCTGCTCACATCTAATTCGTACACACAAATTATCAAAATCTTATATCTTAATTTGTCTGGGTCAAACAAATAAAGTGTCAGTGTCATAAGCGAAAAGTATACTGTATTGCTTGATTGGTTTGCTGGTGGAAAGTTTGTCACAAAGGTAGTATCATCACTCTCATTGTGTGTCATATCTGTCCAGTCTACATCATTATCTCCACAATCAATTTAAATATCTTTATACCAGGGGTTATTAGCTTTTAACCAATTAAGCGCCGTTATTATGAACTCAGGTCTAATAGGTTGAAAATAAAAATGTCTCATGAACTAAAGTTTTCTTTTTAAATTAAGAAGATATGTACCAAATCGTTCGGGAGGACAAGGTAGTACGTTACATGTTTGTGCATAGTTTACTAGTAAATTACATACCACACCTTTAATTTTTCTTTGTTGCTCTTTTGGCGTAACTATTACTGTTTCAAATACAATGCGCTGTACAATTATTATTTGTTCCAGTTTTTGAAGATTTCCAAGCTCAGTTGGTACATCATCATTGTCTCTTAGTGGTATCCATTGTTTTGTATTGTTCGGCTATTTTGTTTAACAGATCTTGTTTTTTAGTAGTATCCATTCTTTTGTGTAGGTCTGCTTTTTGTTTAGCAAATCTTCTTTCGTAACAATGTCTGTTGTTTCATACTTTCGCAATTGTTTCATCTTTAGCTCATGTTCATTTGTCATAATCTTTACTTGTTTCTTTTCTGATAATATTCTCTTCTTTGATGGTTCCATTGCTTTATAGTCATGTTTCTGTCTTTGATTTTTCATCATTCTTTTCCTTTCATTTCTGTCAACATTCGCACATGAACATGATGCAAATTATACTTTGTAATGACTTGCAGACTTGTATTTCTTTTGAATACAGCTAATTGCCTCAACAAGTGAAGCGGTACCTGATTTATGTTCTTGGTACACTGAATTGGTTGTATGTGATTTTCATTTTAAACCGGGAGGGAATACACACATTAATCCATTCTCCCAGAGGTCATTATCTGGCGACCATACCGCTGACAAGGAGCCAAAATGACCCTGAGCTCGTGATTGTGTGCTCAGCGATGTGCAGAGCGCTGAGTGACCGCTCAGATACCCTACTCTAAGCATGCGCTTTAAGCCCAGACGGGATTTGTCACTGAAGGAGGAAAAATAAAAGGCCTTGAATTTCAACTTGGGCGTTTCCTTTGAAATAATGATTGATGAATGCCGAGGTGCTACATTTATTGGGGTATTAGAAAATAGTTTTGTTTTATCAATGGAGTTGATAATGTCGATTGGCTACCATAAAGATCTCCTAAAGCTGATGTTTCTAGAATTAGCATTTTAATACTGCAGTTTACTGAGTCAACGCATTAGAGAAATTTAATTGTTCTGTAGACTATACCAATCTAAAGGAATCGATAAAACTCTTTTTATCACGCCTTCAGATACTTTGAAAACCAGAGATGTCGCAGAAAGAATACAGAGACTTGAAAAGCACATCTTTGGAAAATGCCAGTTTAATACTTAATCAAATATGTTGTTCCATGTATGAGTGTGTGTCTGAACTCGAGTAGAAAGTGCATGGCCCACTCTGCTGTCATGGAATTTTTGTCTTTTTCCTTTTTTTCCTCCTATTTTGTAGAAGAAAGTGACAATTGAAATTGTTCATTCCATTCATGAGAGATCTTTCAAAGCTTGTTAAGGACGTTCAACTTATGAAAGATCATTAAAAGCCATCATCATGCCTTGTGGTATCTAATGCCTTATCTGCTTACTCTCCTTTTACACTGTCCACCTCCCTCCCTGTTTTATTCTCTGGTTTCCACTTTGAGCTGCCTAGCAGATATAGTGTTGATTTATTATAATTTATGCTATCTTAACCCTTTAACTCCTAACAATGGATGGCCTCTAATTTCTCCTTACATTAGCACCCTTCAATCAAATGTATAGGTCCTGACAATAAAGGAACGATCACCAATATAGGAATTTCCTGATTTTCAAACAAATTCTCCTCCTCAGTATTATGAGAAATGTAAAGAGAGCACTGTAGAGAATATGACTTCCAATGCCTTAGAGTGTAAAGGGTTAACCCTTTAACTCCCAGAAGTGATTAACATGTAAATTCTCTCTATAATCTCCATACATTATACAGAAAACAGGTAATAAGAAATTACCCAAACCTTAATATCAAGCAGATTTTTCACTCTGGTATCAATGTGGAATCAAACAATAGGCTCGTTAGATTTTTAAAAAAATGATCACAAGCTTGAAAAGTTCTTGAATTTTGGCACAATTCTCATTGCCAGTGCCAAAGTTAATGTTTATAGAGGAGTAAAGAGAATACACATGCTGATCTTAGGGTATGAAAGGTTGAACAGATGTTAATCTTGGTTCTCCTTCCCCCCTTTATGCCCTCTGGGAACTGTTGTAGAGTTTAGTTCAGACCAGTCCAGTTCAGTCCGTTAGATATAGTATACCTTTGTCATTACAGTAATCTGATTAATACCCAAGCTGTGATCAGTTACTCACAACCTGTAAGCCTGCAGAGCAGGCATGATTTTGAGTTCAGACGTATGGCTCTGATAATGATAATTACATGAATGATAAAATGATAGAAGTAATAACTGTGTTTTGTTAGATCTTATACAGAATGTTTTTGTCATTGTATTTATTTTGCTTTAATTATTTATTGCAGCATATGATTCAAACAAGCAAGATGTAACTCAAAGAGTAAAAACACCGGAATACCATATTGAGAATTCAGGTGCTTGATTTTAGACCTATAATGTGTCATAATAGTGTCAGTCACTGTCTGTCATGGAGTGATTAAGTTATATGTTCAGTCGGTCTGTTTGTCGTTCTAAACGTTATTCAGTCTAAACCCGAATACTAGACAGTCAATTACTCTGGCAGTCAGTGACATTCAGTCAGTCTGTTGATACATGTGTTGATAATGGTCTTAGAATAAATCAGTTTGCGTTAGTGATACTCTATAAGTTACAATGCTGTTTAAGATATGCAGTAACTGAAATTGTTATAGAAGCTTTTCATGACATATTCCTCTGATTTGTCTTTTTTTCATTCTTTCATTTTCTTTAACCCAGAAAAGCTCAGCAAAGAAGAATGCCAAGTTCCACATGACTGGTTGTTCCCATTTTGTGAATCAAAAATTCAAGTAAGATATTTAGCAGACCTTACATTTAGTGTGTGCTTCCTAATGTTGGCGTGTACATGTAGGACTGACTAATGGTATATAAAATGTTTCTTTTTGGGTAACTACCCGTAATACAACTAGGACTCAGAGAGTAGTTGTCTCCCAGATATTAGTTGGGAACTTAAATTACAACCCTCTGTCAGTTACAAAGCCACACGTTGATCGCATGGCACATTTGAGAGGGTTCTAATCTTTTCCATATGCATAGAGAAATTTGACAACAATTAACTTGCAATGAAATAACTTTTGTCTTTGCTTCTTCTCTGCATCCTCTAAAACTGGAGTCCACCCGCAGAGGTCGTTTCTTTTCTTTATTTTTCATGAAATTAATTGCAAGTTAAATGAGAAGCTCGTTTCGTCCAATTTTTTGGTTTTAATTTTTGAAATTTTTCATGGTTTCAAATAGAACAGAATTTTTTTTTCTTTCAGGGCTTTTGTTGCAGTTCCTATGAATGTTTTATTTGTTATTTGCATGCTGTGTATTAACGATCTTTACATCGATCATAATTATATATTAACACTTCACTGACTTTATATAAAATGTGTCTGTAACTAACTCACTACCCCAATCAACTTCTCAGTTTGTGCAGCAGTTTTGGGAAACAAATACAGAATGCTATGTTGATAGACACAAACTGAAGCCAGAGAACCTTTGCTCTGTCATTGTTTACCTTAGTGAGGTACGTTCTTATATCAAATTTCTGTTTCACCTCGAGTGTCATATTTCTCTCTATAAACTATTTAAGTGCAATTTTCTAAATGCACAGTGTTCACCTCCTCTTCTACTAAATAACTACTGCACTAATGCACATTGGTAATGCAATTCCCGTCACAGGTTGAAAGATTTTGTCCATTGCTGCCATGGCGGCGGAAAAACGGTACAAGCACCAAAGAACCCGAGGTTAGAGAAGAATAATTCCATATCTACAAGCAGCCATGTATTATTTTGTTTATCATATAAACACGTACAATAGCCCTTCACTGACCAGAAAAATCGACTCAATAAACGAATGAAAATAAAAATTCAAAATAAAAAAAGAAACAAAAAAGAATAAAAAGATTAAAAAAAAAACCAAAATTCTCAGTTACTTACTTTGTCCTCACCAACAGAAGAAATTCTTTCAGGTACACAGCCAACAGCAGCCTGTGGCATATCATCCAAATGTCGATTTTCGTTCTTAGCTGCGGAAAATGCCATTACCAAAGCCACTGATTACGTGACTTTCGGTTTTTCTTTTCGAATTTTGGCTATTCTTTCCCTACCAGGAAAGTTCCAACGTCACTTTCGGTGAGCGATACGGGTTTTTCAGTGTTTTAGTAGCCATACTCCGAAAAAATTCCGACAACGACCCTGGTTTCATCAACCTGAACGAGTGGCGTGAAAGGCGAATGACGTGTAGCAGCTGATTGGTGATATCAAGCACACGTGAAAAAAGTTATTTTTAAAAAGAAAAAAATATATATATGTTAGCGTATAGAGTGGTATGTTAGTCGCACCAATCAGATCGTTTAGGGTATGTATCTCGCACCAATCAGATCACCGCATTAAGGTATACATCTCGCACCAATCATGCAGAGCGTCGTTTTTGTTCTTTGGTTTTAGAGGTGTTCAAATTTCAACGAATTAAGAGGGTCTCCAATAGGTTTTTCGGGATCCGGGATCGGGCTCATTTAAAGGCCGGGATCCGGGAATTTAAATAAAGGAGGGAGCGTAATGCGGGATTGCTAATATGAACGGGACACTGAAATCGGCGATTTTTAGGAGCGGGATGCGGGAAATAATCACTTAAACAAACCGAGAACAGAGATGTCCGTTGACGAGAATTTAAGAAGAAATTGATCTTCTCAGTCATAAAAAGCACCAGGCACACAGGCTCTACCATTTAAGAGTCGGTCGGGCTACTTAAAAACACTCTTCAGTAATTGTGCGGGAATGAAAATTTTATCAGAAGCGAAGTTACCAATTTATCAAAATTCCACAATGGCCCGCAGAGCTCATGTAGAACGTGGTCTAAGACTTTTGCGTCAATTGAAATGCTTAACAGCGTTGAAAAGCCTCCAGCAAGTCTCAGAATTATACTAATATGATGCTCTTAACCTGTTGAGTTACACGACACTGTAAAGAATATTCTTTCGGTTGTGCATTACAAAGATAAACTTTCCACAGTGTTAGACTACCCAAGGAACTTTGGAAATGTAGCCTGAGAAGACTTTATGAGGACAACCCATTAGACGGCGTACCATTTAACAAATCCAAATTCTTGGTATCCTGTACCCGAACGTGCCATGATCCTGTCGGCCATACCAGCAATTCAACCGTTACCACCTGTGCCGATGGCACCACAGAACATACAGAAGATGAAGGATCGGGCGTAAACATTTGTTGCAGCAGTGCATCAGCTCTCTGTCAGACAGGAAACAACGATGGCAAGAGCTGGAACTTCCCGTCGTATCTCTATTAGAGAGAAGTTCAGCAGGTCGAACCCGGGTCAGTCTCGAATGCTCTGACTTCGAGAAGCAGCGAGAAAACAGCGGGAAACAAGACGGATAAGAAGATGGAATATTAGAATACGATTCCCCGAGTGATAATGATGACATTCCATCTTTGGAACGAGAGGCTGATTTTACCTCGGAAGAGGTTCCCGCCTCAGAAGAAGTGTTAGCTTGAAGAGTAGAATTGTGTTCAGTTAATTTGTTTTTATCTCCGTTGTTATGGAACTACAGGATTGCCGTGACCTTTTGTGTTTTATCCACTGTTTGCATTTGGTTTTCGTTTCTTTGATACTGACCTACCTATACCCATACGTTTTTCTGTGATCGAAGTTTAATGAAAGAAAGTCGCTACCGTGACTAGCGTGCGTTGTTCGTGCAGAACTTCTTAAATGAACAATATCATCATCTTGGTGAAAAGAGATAAATTCATGCCTTACAATGACTATAGACTTGAACGAATCAATGCTAATTAAGAAAATCATCACCCACCGGAAAGGCCGTTCTAAGTTTGGGAAATGAGCGAAGACAAAATTGTATGTTCGGGATGGGGATCGGGATTGGCCGGTATAAACCGTCGGGACTACGGGATTGAGAGAAAATTTTAGTTGGGATCGCGGTATTGAAGAACCTTTTGGGGATCCTTAATTAACACAGGATTCGGAGAATGGAAGCATCATTGAGAACGAAAAATGTTGGCTTGTCTGTGTTTTTAACGTGTATTTTACCGCGCTTTATGAGAGACGTGATAGATGAAAGACATCAGATTACTTATAGTAAACGTGTTACTCATGCTGTAAACATGGTGGATAGTTGTTTGAGAGAAAATGGAGTCCTGTGCACTGTAACACGATCTTGGTTAAAATGAACGTGTTGCTGAAGGTCATATTACTGTTTTCTGTTAGCTTGCAGAAATGAGATTTGAGCTGGATCAAACATTCATAGACACCCTGAATAAATTGAATTTGCGGTGGATGCGTGACCGTATCTCAAGAATGTGGCCTCGGTGGGTGGCAGCAGCCAAACAGTTCACAACAGAGGGATCACTACGCAGCAAACATCATGTCAAAAAGGTCATTTTTTGAGAGTAGAGTATCGAGAGTCGAGTTTGGATACACTCGAAGAACCTTGATTTGCATTTTCAAGGAAACGATTTCATTCTCCAACGCGAAACATTAGCAAGGGAAAAGTTGACTAAGACGCTGTTTTTAACTCTTTCCATAGATTTTTATTTTCTTAGGCACGTATGCTTATCAACCCATGTGGCTGGATATGGCTTTCACGGGTGCACCTCTGGGAGAGATGGTGCAGTGGAGCGATCTGATAGCGGCGTTGTACATTTTGGGACATGACGTGACAATCTCCGTCAACTCCACTACGTACCAGAGGTAAGTTTGGGTTGAGCAATTTCAGTGCAATTTTACAGCAGTTGGGAATTGAATGTCGAGTTTTCCTTTCTCTTCGCTCCGCTCTTTCACTGGTCTAGAAAACTCTTCTCGACCAATCAAACGCAATTCTTGTATTGTTTTCTTCGAATCGTGTGTTCTTTTTCTACACTCTGATTGGTTCAGAGTTGTGATTACATGTACGTTCTCTAGAATTGGATTTACAACATTTGATTGGTCTTGTCTTTTTAGCCCTCGACTGGTCAATAATACTCGTGCAATCTTCTTAACCCATCAAATTTTTAAGAATAAAGCAGTAAGAATTAAATTGCCACTTTCTCACGTGCGTTAACCCCTTAAAGCTTTTTTTCAGTTGAAAGTAATCCGGCATCGCTTTAGTCTTAATTTACGCTGCTTCGTGATTGGTCCAGAAGACTCTCGCGCCATCCGCTCAACCAGTCATCTGCAAAACTTAAAACAATCGCGACTTTTTCATTCGCATTTTCTCGCACCTCAAGGAGTTTGCTTCTTTCTACTATGAGTCCTTATGGGCTACTGATGATCTTGATCTTTCTTCTGACGGATCGCCTGAGATCGCTTTGGTTTTGGCTTTTCGACACTCAATTCAAAATTTCTCTGTCGTGTTTTAGATACCGTTTCCTTGTGTTAAACTTGACTTCTCATCGGTTACTTGTGATGTTTATCTCTCGTTATTATCCACAACGATTGCGTTGATATTGGAGCATTTGAAGACGTGTCCATGTCGCATTATATAAATAGTAGCCTTCAGTTAGCGCGAAAATATGCACAGACATTTGTCGGTAACGTGACGCGTTTAGACCAATCGAGCGCCAGGAAAAATATTTTATGGTTCATGACAATATTTATATAAGTGCTTTCCTGTGCTTGTTTGCTTGGCATTTATATGTTTCTTTTTCAGTTATATGTCGACTCCAAAGTTTCGTGGTTGTGCTGATATATTCGAGCCTGAATTTGACCTGATTTACACAGACTACAATGGGTTTACCAACATGTTCAGGCACATTACTCCAAATTTGTCGCCTTATAGGTAAGTGTAGGGGTTAGAGGTCAGATGTATGTTTGAACTTACTTGTTCCTTCGCTCCATAGTTCTTTCGTTCCTTCGTTTCTTTGGTTGGTCAGCCGGTCGCTGGGACGGTTTTCCGTTATCGTGTTGTTTTCAGACGGTGCCGTTTCCGTTCATTAGGTCGGTCGTATGGTTATCTCGATGGTTTTCGTTTTTGTTATTTTATTGCTTTGCACTTGTTTGTTGCCAGTTCGCCCTCAATCTTTGGATTTATGCCATAGTTACCCTTTTTTGATTTTTTTCTTCATAAACTGTTCAACTAGTCCTTGTCTCGCGTTTAATGTGGGTACTTTGTAATTCCATTCCTAGATGCCGAATAAGAATTCTTGATTCCTTTGGAACGGACGCACAGTTTAACTATGGAGCATATAAAGGCGTGATACCTGGCGAAAAGACAGCGTGGGCGCGAGCTGATATCAATCTTCGGCAGATCATGACAATGTTTCGTAAGCGACTTTCCATGCTGTTTATTCAAGCTGCTTTTACAAAACTGATTAATTATGTTAATAAGACTGAGTGGAGTCAAATTCGGTCTGTAATCGTACGAGTGGTTAACAAAATCCCCAGTTGATCCTAACCATTACACGTACAATTATCTTGTTTGTTTGTTTGTCTGTATTTTTTTTACCCCTCCTTGCAACGCTTTCGGATGCCCTCAAATAGGAGCAACAAACAAAAGATAAAACTACAAACAGTTGTAACACTTGCGCGTAAACGAGAAACGAAAAGGATTATTATAAATCCGAAGGCGTAAGAGGTTTATAACCAATTAGTAAGGAATTAAATTTGATCTTTTCCTGTCTTAGAAGAACCGAGTCATAATCCCGCTCTCAGAAAAGTGATTACCATTTGCTCTTCTCATCAGCTCATAGTCCAGATAACTTGTTTCTGGGCTTTGTGGTTGGTGAACCTATTCCAGAAGACGTTAAACCATTGAAGAAAAAACCGATCGGACTCGTTTATGGCAAAGAAGCTAGCTTCTGGCGGGTGAGGGTTTTTAAGCTGGTCCAATGGCTCTCTAGTATTATTAATTTTGTTCCTTCGATCACCCAGGGAGACATATACATAGATTCTCAGAAAAAAGAGTTGGCAATGAGTGTGTGCTTTGTTTTGGTGACGTGCCTGCAGCGATCGCCAAGTTCACTCAAAAAATGAACTGTGTCAAATATTTTGACAAGTTACTAAATATTTGTTTGCAAATTTTGAAAAATGTTATAACTCAAGGGAAAATAACAGGCTTAGAGAGATCAAGTTTGTATAGGATTCGCACGATGAACACGGACTGCAAATTTTAAACGACGCACAGTTTGTGTCCTTAGCGTTCTCCTAAGAAAACTTTCTAATTATACTCGTGCTGTAGTTTTTCGTTGTTGGATGCCTGGATGCCCATTAACCTCACAAGGGATAGAGAGGATAGCGTTGGCACCTTTTTTTTTTTTTTTTACCAAGACGACTTTACGTGCAATAGCCTCCGATCAAAGCCATTTCATATCCCCTCTCAAGAACTTGTTACACAGAAACCTTGAGCTTAAAGAAAATCGTATTAACGCTTTTAGAGAAGCACAAAATATCTGGAGGGAGACGTCGCTGCTACGTTATTTATTTATTTATTAGCGATATTTATGCAGGCTGGCCCAGATAAGCTTCAAGCTGGTTTGAATGGGGCCTCGGCGCTTACTAGTAAATGAAGCGAAGGATTTGCTCAAAAGGGTCTTAGTTATAAAACGAAACGTTGTGTGACACCTCATATATAAGCTGTCGTAAGGATGACTGACGCGCATGCCTGCATGGCTACCCATATGCCAATTCACCTGAAATAAACAAACACGATGTTACGATAAAACAAAAAAGGAAAAAAAACGCCGAAATAATCAAAGCATCCTTTACTGTTGTTTGATAAGTTACAAGGTGATGTCCTTGAAGCCTCCCTGTTCAAAGTTTCCTTTTAATTTTTGTATCGTTTCTTCCTTTGCAGGGAAAAAGAGAATACCTCGACACGTTACATAAACATTTAGAAATACATGGAACGTTCTCTGCTATGTCGGTATGTTTGCAGAGATGGAAAAATGTTGATGGAAAAAAATGTTTGAAGTAACTAACTGAAGGCTGTATGATATTGCTAACGACAGTGCCTCAATAAGCTCTCTGTTTTTCTGCGTGAAAAGTTTTGCCCCCATATTCGATATCATATTGGAGACTAAAGTCTGAGGGAGATAGAAATTTCTATCCAAGGTTGGGGGGATAGGTAATTTTACCGTTGATCGAACATTACTGCTCAGTTGACGATCTCGATTGTGGATTAGCCACCGGTGGTCTCAAATCTCTTTTCAGGAGGAGAAGCAGTCCTGCTCCAAATACTAGTCGCATTATAATACAGATTGCAACTTTTACTTTGCCAAAAATGCATGTATAATAATTTTTCCTGTAGATTGTTACTAGTGATTAAACTACTGGTGTCTTTTGTTTTCAGGAAGCAGAGATCAAAGAAAATATTCCTGAGTACGTGATATCACATGGCATTCTTAGTAAACCCGACTTAGAAAAACTTTTACAGGAAACTAAGGTGAGCATGTAGCGTGCATACAGAGCAACCTCGAATAAAGTATAATCCAACTTAGATATTAATTTTGGGTTCCCATATTTACTCCGAAGATATTCTTCATGTAACAAGCACCAGTGTCCAGTGGGCATGGACACCAAAATTGAACCCTCTTGAGACCCAAATTGTCTCTGTTAAGCGACCACCTCAAGCAGCTTACAATTAATTTCTTTTCATATTTTAGGAGAAGTGTAGAATTTTAAAATCGAGTTCAGTCCGAGTTGTTACGCAAACCATAAACATGCCATCAACATAAGAGCCAGAGTTTTTGAAGAAGAATGTTGTTCTGTTGAACTACTAACCAGAATAATGAAAACGCGCCTCATTTGTCGACAACCACATTTGCGATCGACTTTCACTTGGATTAAAATAGAGACTACAAAAGGAAAAATAGGCTCAAGACGTTGGATCAGTAGCCGACATTGTTTTTGCGCAATTTAATAATTACTCGCGGACAACCTGCGTAAACCATGTATACCCAACATCAGTATGCATATTCTCCTTACTGCTCTCTATGCATTTCGGTTCGAACAAGTAGAGGGTTTTTTAACAATCAAGAACTTCTCTAATTCGTGATCATTTCCTTTTTATCTCACAATCTTAATGCTTGATTTAATGATCATATTTCAAGGATGAGTAAAAGAGTTCAGGAGACATTAGAAATAAACGTGCAACATTTCTTCAGATATTGACGGCGACGATGACGTTATTGAAGCCTTGTCTTGCCTGATCAAAGCACCGATGTCATATTTAATCATTTCAGGTGTTCATAGGTCTCGGATTTCCGTATGAAGGCCCTGCACCCCTGGAAGCAATAGCACAAGGATGTATTTTTCTAAATGCCAAGGTAATCATTGATGTAATCGCAAGGAAAAAGGTTATTTAAAGAGTGCTGTTATTTGAGGTTTGAGAATCTTTACCCTCATTATCAGTATGGTCACTATCATTGTCATCATCGTTATTATTATCGTTATAATTATCGTTGTTAAATAGAATAATAGATATGATAAATTTTTGAGCTTGGTAAAGAAGTAGAGAAAGATGTTTTTCGTCTTGTCATCATCATCATTATTATTGACATTGTTATCATCATTGTTTTATATCTTATTTTTATTATTATTGTTGTTGTTATTTTTATTGTGTAGAGAGCATTTTTTCCCTTTGTTAATTTCCGAATGTACGCAGATAAAACAAAGATGATTTAATTTTTTTCTGCATTATTATGTGATGTCAAAAAGATCTTTCTCTTTAGCAATTTAGCATGTAGGTACGATTTGGATTTTGGTAAAGTTGTATATAGATAATGAAAATTAAAAATGTACTATTATTATTATTATTATTATTATTATTATTATTATTATTAAGTATTGTTTTGCAGTTTGACCCTCCGCATAATCGCCTCAACACAGGATTCTTCAAGTTGAAACCAACTCTTAGAAACGTAAGAGACTGAGGTGATATTTTTGTTAGATGAAGTCAGGTTTGCTAAGGCTTGTGCGGGAGTCTAATAGAAGAGATTGACTATTTTTTCGTCGACGGGTGTGACTCAGATTTGATTTTCTGTTTTATTACATCCATTTTAAAATCACTTGTGATCCTTGCATTCTGATTGGCTCTCGCAATTTCGTGCACTAAATCGCATCTTTTTCCCAACAAAGAGACAGCTTTACTAAAAAAAAAAAGAAACAATCACTCAAATTTCAAGGCCTTATTGGCGAAATCAATCAAACTGCAGGAAAATAAGTGACGACTTTTGCAATAATTTGCAAACCAGCTTAATATGTTGGATCAATACAATTTTTTCGGACTAAAAAGAGTTGTGTAAAGCGACTCACTTTTGGGATTTCAAAACAGATGTAATGTAATGGTTGATTTCTAATTACACTTGCGCTGCGCGCTTGCTTGATTTTGAAATCCCGCGTACAATTTCAGACCAACTTGCACTCCACTAAGTTCAATATCCATAACTAATCTGGGAAACATTGCCGAGGGAAATGTGTAATCTTTTAAGCTTTTATTTATTGTTGAGCAACAGCAATTTACCGAGGCTTTGCTGCAGTGTTAGTCATTTGTGTTGTTTTTAGCTTACATCACAGAATCCTTACGCCGAAGTCTTCATCGGAAAGCCACACGTGTTCACCGTTGATATTTCTAATCTTTCACATGTGGAAGAGGCTGTGAAGGAGATGTTAAGAACTGAGGTATTTACACCTTTGCAAATGAAGTGTCAGTTCTTCATATAATAAAAACGATAATTCAGAAGAATGATGAGATTGAAGGGGAGATTGTGATAGGGACAATGTCGATGTGATATCAAAATCTTAGAGAGATATTAATTTAAGGTAGCCTACAGAACAGGCGTAATTTTTTCTCGTTTTTCACTCGATCGGAGGAAAGGACGAGGCGGCGCGAAGTGCGAGTCACGCGCGAGGGTAGAAGCTGACGACTGGCTGGCTGGCTCTCTAAATGAATGACGAACGAACTGACTCGCTGTCCAGAGACTTGACGACCACAGTAGACTATCGGCTGGCTCACGAACTGAAGGAGTGACTGATTGACTGACTTACCGACTGTCTGAATACTGACCTACGAACGGGCTGAGGGTTGACAAACAGATTGACTGGCTAACTGGCTGTTTGTCTTAGTGGGTGGTTTGTGAAAGACTGACTGATTAAACCTAGCCAAATTTTTGTCTGAGTGACTGATAGACTGACCTGGTGAGTGACTGAGTCACTGACTAATTTGCTGACTGAACGTGTTAAGGTGTGATTGACGGACTGAACCCTAAGCTGATAAATGGAAAATTAGACCACCTGTTTGATCGATTAGATTACTCGTTCTTGTAGGTCAAGCCTTACCTTCCTCATGAATGGACGCATAAAGGCATGCTGGAACGCGTGAATGCTTTCACAGAATATTATGTGAGTACTTACGTTTGCACGTACGTAGCTTGGCCAGTTGAGCTTATTTGGCTCAACTATTCCTGGCATGCACAACTTATCCCTTAAAGAAAGTAACTTTAATGTACTTCCGGAAAGTAACTTCATCATAATTCGGAATAGACATAGTTTTAGAAAAAGTTGTCCTTATTATCCACTCACTTTTAGAAAGAAACGTGCTAATGAGGGATTTTGAGATCATACTTTTATAATTTATTATAATGTGATCAATGTTGATAAAGAGATTGACTGTTACTTTACCTAGTGAAGCATGAAAAACTAGGATGGAAAAAGGAAGGTCGACCAAAAAAAACCAAGAAAAAAGCATGAAAATTGTTGATGGTTGACAGAAAACAGAGCAAAGGACTTGAACGGTCTCGAAGTTCTGTCTTGAACAAATGATGCACAGTTTTTGGGTTGTTGATAAATCCTGAGCGGTTTCCCTCATGCATTTTAATAAAGAATCGCTCAGGGTGGGATCGAAAATTATTGTGCTGGACCGACAAAGAAGGATAAAAATTAATTTACAGAATTGTCTTTTTTGTTTCCTAGAACTTTTGTGAACATATCGAGCGGTGGCCTCCATTGTCAGAAATGATACTATCAATGGGTGCAGCTGGAAAATCGTGCGTTGATGTCTGCAAAGAACGTGGTAAGTCTTTTATATCTTTTCTTTTCATATTTTTTTTCTCCCGCTAATCCTCTTACTACAAGCTAGTCAAAGAGTTTCGCTAACGGTGAAAATCTTACCCAACGTATGGACTGTTTAACCAATTTCCCACCTCTGAAAGTTCAATAAGCCCATTTTTTTTATATTTTATTGTGTTTTTCCGTTTTACATTAGAAAAAAAAAAATTACAGCAGTATAAAGTAAATAAAATTGTATAAGGTCAGTAAATAAATAATTCTTCTATTCTGAAAATTTTTTTAAGGTGCACGAGGAAGATAATAAAGCTTGGGGTAATAGATTTCTGTCTGCAGAGAAAGATGGTCTGCTTCGCCATTAATATGATGTGATTTAAAAGCATAAAGTGATTATCGACATCAAATAAGCCAAACATAATATTAATTTGATCTGTTAGATCAGGAAGCGTTTCAATACCGCATTCATCTAACCAACTAGAGATTTCTTTCCAGAAGGCTCTAGAGTGTTCACAAAAAACAAAAAGATGTTCAAGGGTTATCATGTCCTGTTTTGTTCTGTTTTTTTCAGAATCACTGTGTGAGCCGACCTTTTTTGTGGACATTAACCGTACAGAAGATCTTAAAAAGTAAGTCTTCTCCATCTTTTTTAAGAAGCATGATTATAGGGTGTTGAGACTCCAGATTTAGCTGGCCGACTCGAGTAAAAATATCCTGTGCTATTAATAGGACAGTTGGTTATTTTTACTTTAATAAGGAGCGAGCGTTATGCAATACCTGACGCAAACCGCTTCTCTATTTGCTTCGGTTTCCCTGCCTTATAATAAAAGCTTATAAGAAGTTTTGGTACTTAGTGTCGCTGAGTATCGCAACTCATTGTTTGTATTTTGACTCGTAAAAATTTCTTTGCGATATTACTCACGAAAACTTCTAATATGATATACATATTGCCCTTCACAAGGTTTGGAATGAAGTGTAGCGCTGTGGAGACCAAAGAGTCACTGTTAGCTCCAAGTTACGATGTGTCAACCCACATGTGCACGCTACAGAAACAGCCTATCCTCTTTACATGCGTGGCTAAAGAACCTTCTGCCAGACGCCTTTGTCCATGCAGAGACTTTCAAACACAACAGGTGGCGTTTTGTAAACAGTGCCATTAGTAACTGTCACAAAACAGGCTTCTGTACGGAAATAGGAATTTAATGAAGTTGCTGAATTTATATTAAACACGAATGATGACGATTACATCTCATTGAAGAAAAAAAAGGGAAATGGTATTATTGGTAAGACACACCTTTTATTTATTTACGTCGTGTTGTCGGGATCATGCTGCAATTATTTGTCCTAAAAAACGTCCTTATTTACTCCGATTTATGCGTTGTTTGGATGGCAAAACGCTCGTTGCCTTCTTTTCGTGAATTCCAGAGTCCTTCCTTAGTTATATGTCAATTTTGTAGCCTCTCTAATTTATGACATCTATCCGTGTTTTCATTCGCTTCTCGTCTATTAGGACAGACGTATAGATGACGTCATCATCAAAACCTTTTTCAATTCTTTGTTATATAAAACAAATAGATTCCAATTTGCTGTTCATCTGTTCAGTAATAGATCACAGAGGACGTCAAAATGTGATAAGAACATCAGTGACACACTCGGCTGTGCCTCGTGTGCCACTTTTTTGTTCTTACCACATTTTGACGTCATGTGTGATCTATTACTGAACAGACGCAAGGAAACTTGGAATCTATTTGTTAAGTATTTATTAGTAAAATTTAAATATTTTAAACAGTTGTTAACTATATGATTGTAGTTATTATCAAAAATTCTATAAGGGCATAGTCCCAATATAAATTTCTATTGTAGTTAAGTTTAATTTTTCCTTAAAATGTTAGGAATTATTGAAATAATTTTGTATGTTATGCCTCTTTGTTTCGCCCGTTCTAATGCCTCTCTAACTAGTTCCATTCCTGTCAGTCGTCAGTGTAATTTTACTGTTTCGATATGCAACATCGACCATGTTTTATAAGGGTCAATTACTTGTCTACTAATGTTTAATAACGGAATTTTGTTGTCACAATATTAGGCTCATATCTTTGCTTAATATAAAATTTTTGAGAACAATGTCTAACACGTTCGAAGAGCATAATTAGCCGTCTGTGTTGCTTAAGTTTCAAAGTCACAGCTCTTGTGTGGGTCAACGAAATCCTCTCTGAATAACGTTTGATTGGTAAGCAAAATAATAAAACTTTCAACAAGGGTTAGGAAGGTAGCTTCAAAAGATCATTTACGAATTTCTATTGTTTTATTTCTCATGCCTTTATGTCTCGGTCAATAAGGAGAATTCCGAGACAATTAAAGGCTCGTTAGAGATATCGCAATAAGATGGGCACAACGAAATGTTTCAACGTCACAGGTTCTTTGTGGACTGAGAAAATCTCCTAAAAATAGAAACAATTTTTAGTGAGCTAAAAAAGCGCCATTAACGCTTTGTAACATACAAGTCTCAAAGTCACAGTTCCTTTGTGGGCTAAGAAAATCTCCTCTGAATGCTAAAATAGTTACGTTTTTTAATGAGCTAAATGGTCTAGTTTGGGTTAGGGATAGGCAGCCATATTCATACCCCTCTACCTCGTTCACTATGAGTAATTCCGAGACAAATTTTAAACAGACAAAAATCTCCAAAAAAACTACTTGATATTCGATAGGATTGGCTATATATTGGAAACTAGTTTTAAATGTCACTGCTCTTTTGTGAAGTTAGAAAAATCACATTTCTGAACATGAAACTTGAGGATTTTTTCAAAGGCACTTTAACAAGGGAATGCAAGAGAATTAAAAAAAAATATTCGTCAACGAACTTGTACGAAACTGTTACACGTTTACATCTCCTTTAGAAAGAAGATTTGTGGACATAAGTTGGATGCGTATACGTGATTCATCGTTTCAGTCTTCAGGTGTCATTGCAATAAATTGTTCTACAACGTTTGGTCAAAACGCGCTATTCTCTTAAGAGATCAAACTGTACTTTTCTTGATCTAGTGCTGAGACCTAAGGCTGAGTTTCGAGGCTGGTGTATTCCTCTGTAATCATCTTATGGATGGTGAAACGTCTGGAAACCCGCATTCACGAATCAGTAGCCAAGAGAATATAAACATATTGGTTTTTAACATGTTTGTTCTTTTGCCGTCAGTGGTGTCAGCTTCCCAAGCACGATTCACACAATGCAACTTGTTCTTTGCGGTAGGAGCGGCAAGGGCAGATACGAACGACACCAGCCTTTGCCGCTCGGCAGCTAAATAGGAGTGCCTCATTCTGTAGCATGCACGTGTTGTCTGCTGTGTTCATTGATGGAGCTAGGATGCTGTCACGTGGTTCTATCGTTGATGCATTGCAGGGCATCCCGGCTCTGATAAAAGAAAGGATGAAATTAAATCCCCACACAATGGAGCGTTTTCGTTCGAAAACGCATCATTTTGCCTATCGATTACATTCAAACGTCCAGAAACAAATATTTTCGAAAAAAGTTTCAAAAGGGAAGAAAAATGGTACCGTTTCTTGCATGGAAAAGTCGGAAAACGGAGGGTTTAGTGAGTCAGAATGTATCTTTATATATTTGCTATATTAACTACAGTGAAAAAAGGGTTAAAGGGTTAAAAGACCGAAAAATTGTATACTCGTAATCTTCTTACCTTTTGAATGTGTCTCTTGTGTTGATCAATGGGAAGAAAGTAGGCTCACAGACGAGACCCTTGTCCAGACACGCAAACTCACACGATTGGCCATCTTTACTGATCGCGGTTTTCAGTTCTTTGATAGGAGGCCAGTCATTAAGGCGACAAAAGTCCTGAGTTAAGGAAAACCCATCATTTCTTTAGACACAACTTCTCTCTCACCCAGAGTAAAACGAAAATTTTAATAGAAAAGATAAATCTCAGAAAGAGAGAGAGCAAAGTTGAAGTGAGAGTAAAGTCGGCCATGAAGTATTTAATCAGGGAGATGGTAAGCCGTTCTCCGTGCCGTAATTATTGATGCTAGTAACATAAGCAGTGCATAGTAAAAACTAGTTTTCAAGCAGGCCTTCATTATTACCACTTAGGCACCAGCATTTCTCTGCCTGCAGGAAAGGATGAGGCCTGTTTGAGCAACGCGAGCCAGCTGGAGGTCTGCCTGGGGTCTGGGAATGCCATTAGCGCCAGACCCCCGGTAAACCTCTCCCCGACTCTTCCCGCAGGTGGAAAAACGCGTCTTCCGTAGTATAAATTATGTATAATGAGGACCGGCTCTCAGGCTCAGAAGAAAACCATTATTAAGTATGATTTAGGATATTATGTACCACGATTACACAATTGTAGGATGTGAAGTTTATCGTAGATTTAAAAGTATAGAATCAAAAGAAATTGAAAAAAAAAAACACACTCACACAAAACAACAACAATAATAACAACAGCAACAAAACCCCCCCAAAAATTAAACAAGCCAACAAGCACGCCAAATAACTAAGTAAGCCCCTACAAGGCACTACTCATGGCATAGAAATCTGAATTCCTCTTCATTAGGGCTGGCAGGATTGGATGGGTTTTATTATTCCTGATTATCAAGGATGAGAAATACTGAGCAAGAGATAAGGAACGTAGGAATAGATCGCATACCTGATATTCTACATAAGCATTTAGTCTCTCTAACATCCCTAGAACCGTGAACTCGTATGGCAAGTGTGGGGTGGCCTGCAAAATAAAACAACTTGAAAATCATTTAAAAAAAACAAAACAAAAGCAAAAAAATTGAAAATTGTCTCTTTGTCTCGATTTTTATTGGTAAAGCTGGCTTGCCCCAAACAATGACATAGTATCTCTCAGTCGAACTTACACTTTTAAAACAATGCATTTTATAACTTCTGAAAGTACGTGTGGCTTCGAGTATTTTCCGTTTTGGGTCAAGGTTTTTCAAAATAATCTCTATGGACCAACCAAAATGCAATCACAAAAGAGTGCATTTCAATTTGAAGCTTATTCGTAGAGAAAAATCACTGAAAGTAATCAATGCGGCAATCAAGACAAAGGAAATGTAAAAATTAGCCAATGAGACCCTAGAGTATAAAGGACCAAACTGGCTGAAGGGGCTTGGAATTGCTCGGTCATTTTTAAATACCAATCCCTAAAATCCTGGCATCTACAGCCTTCTGTTCGTTTGTTGTGAAAGAGTGTTTTTTTCTCAATCAGTTCATACAGATGCCGGACCACTTTTCATTTTTAATCAATTTCGGGCTATCTTATAAGTGCCGGAAAATGCGAGTGACTAAGTCACGATTGATTTTCATTTCCAATAATTGATTGAGACAAGGGGCGAAAGTCTTTCAGACCAATCTCAGAGATAGGTGAAGTAAAAACCGATGCAATGTAAGGTTACCCACAAAACTCAAGTAAAAATTATCCAAAGAGACGTTTCCCTAGTGTCACGAAGATGTTATTAACTTACCTTTGACTGAAGTATGTTCCTCACGGCCTCTTCAACCTCTGCTTGATTTTTGATGTCAACTGTTTGTACAAATGGTTTTCCAATGAATACCTCGGCGTATGGATTTTGAGATGTGATCTAACACCAAAAAAAATATTAATCGGATAAAATAATGAGGGAATAATTAACATTTCATTACAGATGTACCACGGAAATACCTTGCCTAAAAATGTGAGTAAAATGAACGTTTGGATGTCCCTAGCTGATCGAGAGGTGGCGTAAAAAGCATGCTGGTTGAAATCGTTCTGCTATATGATAAGCCCTTTATTGACTATGTTTGTTCGGTCAAGATTGAACGGTTGTAAACTTTAATTTTTATCGTTTAATTTTCTTTTTTTTAGGTTTTAGGGACCTTGACTTCGTCTGAGTGCACAGAGACTCAAAAAGAGAACAAAGCTTGTCAGATTTAACCATCTTGACCGAACAACTTTGGTAAATAACGGATATATATCTTAAACGTAACCCTTCCTATTGCGAAAAGAAAAAAAAGAAGCGCAACAATTAATTCATGTGGTGTTAGTAGGAACATGGGTATAATTTATAGCATACATACCTTCCTATTCATGGGTTTTCCTGCGAAAAATCCGTGATTGAGACGATCATATGCCGGAATAAACTTCAAGAAAAATTGGAGGATATAAGCTCGTTCATAATTTTTTTTTTCTATGTACTTTTTTCATCGCGGCCTGACGAGTGCTCATCCCCAGGGCCATATACGTTAACACGAAAAAAATTGCACAAGGGTGGTAATAACGTAGTAATAGGGATGTAGAAAAAAGCACGCTGTTGACATAATAATGATTCTCTGATATACCTTGGGATTTATAAAGAAACATCCATTAGCCAGTGCCTCGAGAGCTGCTGGTCCTTCGAATGGCATTCCAAGACCCACAAAAACCTGATTAAAAAATGATTAAAGAATGATGATATAATTAAAGAGGAATGCATCATAATTAAAAACTATCCACATTAGCTGAGGTGGCCACTGGTGGATATTTACCGAGCTTGGAAGCGGCGAGTTAAATATCTACTGCTTGTCACCGACACTGAGTTGTTTTAGTATGTACTAAGACAGTGAGATAAAGTAGCACAAACATATATTTTTTTGATCATTATCTCTGCAACGATTGCAATATTTTCGGGCGCAAATCCCATGCAAGTTGCTAAATAACAAAGGATATTCAGAGTTGGAGTGGCCAATCATAGTTTGCCATCAACGCTATGCACTGTTTTAGTATATACTAATGATCTTGATTATATGGCTCGGGCTTGTGGCCAATATAACACGCACTATGATTGGCAAAGAAGTCGAAATTGAAGTTTAGTTGAGAGCGAGCGACTTTTCTCTTTACCCCACATTGTTTAAAGCTGTTTTGTTGTTCAGTCATCTTGTGCTCTTTTTTCTTTTGGTTTTTGTTAAAAGTAGAAAAAAAAGTTGTGGCTACTCACTCTTTACCTTACTACTCTGGAAGAGACTCAATAGCGTGGTTATGTTCACTATGCCGTGATTGATGATATATTCTGGGACTTCATACTTAAGAAGCTCGCTCTCCTGACAAAAGTAAATAGATAAATAATGAAAGAAATAAATCGTCAAATAAACAAATAGGTTGACTTGACGTACACGAATTTTCCCTAGATCTCCAGCTCTGCTTGACATAGGTTCTACGTTGCCGTGCGTCGGTTCAGTATTTGATCACAGATGACTTCAAAATGTGGTAAGAACAAAAATATGACGCGCGAGGCAACATGCAGGCTATTTATTTTATATATAAACATGAATAGGGGGTTAACCAGGAGCCGACAGTAATTGTCGGTTTGTTTTTCATTCACAGATAAGGTCAGATTTGAGTCAGGATGTGTAGTATTCAATACAAATCAGTGCGGAGTTAAATGACTTTTGATGCAGTTATTGTAATTTCGTTCGTGAAACTTCAGTACAAGCAAACAAAACAAATTTCCTCACGTTTTTCGTTCCAATGTTGGCATGGACTTCAGGGAAGTACTTCTTGATTATATCGAGATAATGTCTCTTGCCCTAAAGAGAATGCAATTTTAATTTAAAGCTGCAATAGCATTTTTCTGTTAAGTTGCGCTCATTTATTCATGGATTCTATTTCATTATGTGCCCTATCGCAACTTTAGTTTACCCTTAAAAGAATTGAATCATGAGAGAACTTCCAGCCCCCCCTTCAGATCAAAACATCAGTAGGTATAATCATATCAGTAACTGAGAAATTTCACACCTAAACCTCCCCTAACTCAACATTAAACCCAATTTGTTATCAAATGACTATTGTTGGGTTAGGAAGGGGTATGTGTGCAGCTCTTGGATACTAACACTGATCCTTATTTTCTCCATTCTGTTCTCTACACATTTTCCATTGTATTAATAATTAAGGAGTATTGGTTAACAATCAAGAGGATTGCTTCCTTCGTTCGCGCTCAATTTCAATATTTTTATAACCCTACTGTTTGATTCAGTTCTAATTATGGAAGGAGAATTTACAGACTAGTAACTTTTAGAGTTTAAAGGGATAAACTTATTAACGAAATGCATAAGGACTTTTGTGACCGAACCTCATCATCAGACGTTTGATATAGGACCTTAATCTCATTGCAGATGAACTTGTGAGTTTCCTTACCTCCCAGAAAAAAGGCATTTTTCCGTAAACAAGCGCTTTTGTTCCTATTCTTGTAACTTTTGTTTCCACTAGATGCTTCTTATCTGGAACAGCAAAGCCAACGAACGAATTATCAGGACTGTGCGCTGAAAATAGAGACAAAAAGGCAAGACTAAATAAAAGACAAACATAAAACAAAAGAAAGTAAAACAAAAACAAAACGGTATAAAACATACAAACAGCAAAACACAATATGAAATAAAACAAAACATAGCAAAAAAGGCTAGCATACAAACACACCAAATCAATTTGATGAGGAAGCATGAACGTACATATGACTCACAAAAACATTGAGTTGCTTAGATAATTTAAGTATGCCTGTGATAATAATGACTTCGAAATGCTATAAATGCTCCCAAAATAATCTACCATCGAGTTACATAAAAGGTATAAAAAAAAGCAGACTAAACAAAACAAGCGATAGCCACGTAAAATAATGGAAAACCATAACTCACGGTACATAGTCATAAACTGTGGAAGGAGCAGATTTAAGTTTCCCCACACGGATCTCCCACCAGGAATATTCTCCTTGTAAAACGCGAAGTTGAATTCGGCGTCAGATCCAAATGAGTCAAGGACACGAATTTTGCATCTAAGTGAGGAAGAAGTAGAGCAAAAAGAAATAAACGAATTAATAAATAAATACATGAAAATGCCAATCTCTGGGAAATTAATATTGTGGAGTCAAATAATAACGCTATAGGAGCCAAGTTATAACCTTTTTTAATGTGGATTGGTCCTCAGCTTGTTGATGGAAACCTTATGTGATCACACAAAGTTAATTTAAGAGGGAATACAACTGCGAAAGGTCAGAAACAGGGGAAGCAAACAGACTTCGCTAGAAGCATGAGTTTTTTTAGCCAAATTTTGAGAGAAAAAGACTCTAGATTACGGTGGCCTACAGAGGACATGTGATCGGCTGTCACGCCAGGTGTCTCCGTGGACGACAATGGCTGCAACAGTCGAGGAGGTATGTTTTGAGGTCAAGAGTGTTTTATTTTCGTGAAAAGATCATTGGATGGTAACTTGCAATACTTCTACGGCACATAGTTCTGTGAATCAGTACAGTAAATCTTGATTTTTTGAAATCTTACGAGACATGTTCAGAGATGGCTGTCAGTGTCTGAGAACAAGTGTGGATTATCTAATCTTTGTGATTACTCTGCAGATTTGTAAATTTCTAGATGTGACTTCTGCATCGCCAACCCCTTTAAGAAAGAAATTTCCAACTGTTGCAACCATTGTCGTCTCGTCCACGGAAACAACGTGCGTGACAACTCATCATGTGCGTAATAACAAATTCCCATTTATCTCGCGATATTTTGATTTTATCGCGAGGGACTATACCTACTATGCGTTATCTCTATTGTTTTTGTACTTACTGTACGCGCCTTTTAGTGTAACAGATCCTTACACAGAGAAAGCACGCTCAACTCGAAATATATTAGATTGTCATATGCAATACTAATGTTTTCCATTCTTGGCCATACTAGTATCCCATTAGCGTTTGAAAACCCCGAGGCCTCCTTGACGACCCCATGTTGCTTTTTAATCGAGGCAGATTGACCGTGGAGGATCACGTGTTTGCAAGCGCTTACATGAAATAGTGGTCAAGCAAAGTTTAAATGTCGTACTTTCTTTTTTTGGTTTTTTTTTGTTTTTTTGTTTTCATTTTTTTTATTCTGTCTCTAAATATCTTTATCTATTCTAATGACAATTTTCAATGACCCGCTAAACATAAAAAAATTAACGTAAATTGTGGTGAGCTCAAAGCTTTGCGGTGATGATCAACTCCGTGTAAATTTACTCTGAGCCATGCAGAATTTAACGTCTGTAATCTAAACATTTAAAATCGAAAAGGAAACGTCTTAACCTTAGCGTGTCTAACCTGTATCGAGATTGATGTGCTCCACTAGCATCACGCAATTTTTCAACACCTATGATATCAGTGAATATCAGATCCAAACTGTCGTTTAGTTTCCTGGAAGCACAGCCGTCCGAGTCAGGAGGTGTGATGATACTGCAAAAAAGAAGGTCACAAAGTTTAAGGAGGAGAGCAAGACGGACCACTAACGTTTAAATTTTCCTACTTCCTATCTACACAAAAATCCTTTTTATCTTTAAAACTAAGACTCTTGAATTGAAATGGATAAATTGCAACCTCTCTCGGTATAAAATACCGAAATAAATTAGCCATAGGCGATTCCGAATAATATAATTGTTTAGATACGAATGTGCTAATCGTTCAAAACTTAAATTGAGGCATGGTTTTTTTTCATTGCATTTTTTATTTAACGATCACACTCTGTTGGGCTACTCACTCTACCCACTATACATCATGGAACAGATGGCGAAAAGCGTTTCTAATCAGACTGCAGCATTTATGAGAGAACGAATTCGGGTAATTTCCAATAACTGTTCCGTTGCCGCTGTTTCTTTCCCTTCATCACGTCCCGTATTCTCTAAGAGTTGCATAACATGAGCCCTGTCCTCTTGATGCTTGTAAAGTAGAAGTCGAAGAGCACTCACGCACTTACTTTGGCAAGTCTTTTTTGTCCGACGTGATTACCAAATCATGTCCCAATATGTACAGAACACTCATGACGTCACTCCACTGGCTGAGTTCTCCCAGAACGCCACCATTGAAGGCCTCCATAAAGATCTTAAAATTGAATTCTAAGCTTCCCATATAAAGAGCGATCTGAAGAAGAAAAAAAATCGCTGTTTACCAAGCACGAGAACAATAGCGGAAGAATGGTTGTTTCCAGAAAAATATCTGAAAGTTACCAAAATTAAGTTAAAATATTATCACCTTTTTCTTTTTCCTCTCTGATATGCCCTGCCTGATAGCAAGCTCTTTGACGGCTTCTATCCATTGCGGCCATGTTTCGGTGATGCGAATTCTCATCCAGGCATAACGGTCATCTGTAAGTTGCTTTAGTAATCCCGATACATCTGTGCGAATCTTTGCCTAGAACAGTACGTATTCTGTAAGTGAACAGAGTCTACTAACAAAAAGTTTTAATTGTTTTACAAAGATATATATTTTGTCAAGAGGCTTCAAGAGATTAAGAAATAGGAGTCATTTTCAGCGTTAGTTTTAGCAAAAGGAAGTTGCCATGACAATAATTCAAAGAACAAAATTTCTATTTATATGAATTGTTACCAGATTTTGCCGTGAGCCTTGCACAAACCTTTGATTGATTAACTGATGGTTTGAAGGGATCCATGTCTTGTCGCCATGGCAAAACTGGACACCATGCTTCGACCTAAGTGTTACAAGAAAGCAAAAACATACAACATCATAGAAAAGGCAAAATATTGATAATTCTCATTTGCGTGGTTAGCTTGTGAATATATAAATTCGAAGCAACCATTGAATCATGAAGCAGTTTTACAAGTAATTTGTGATCGGTAATTTACTAACCTCACTGAGATATTGAATCACAGAACAGCTATCATCCAGATTCACCTTATGTTTTCCATCGTGGCATTTAGGATTCCATGAATCAGGGAAAGACTAAAAGATAATAAACAGTAGAGAAATCATGAATAACCTTTCCTTAGGAAATATACAAAATTAGTTAATTAAATCGTTTTCCCGTAAAATATTTTTTTGAAAACGTACCTTTACTTTGAAAGAACATAGGGGAAATCTTGAATCTTCAGGAATTTCACATTTTTTAGGTTTTTCGGCTTAAGAGAAAGAAAGAACGAAAAAATTGGCGCGCAATAGGCATAAATACTCATATTTCAGTCAGCGTGATTCCAGAATTTCGTAGTGCTCACAAGATTTGAATATGACAAAAAAATGTCTGTATTCCATACTCACAATCTTCCTCAGGTAGCCAACCGACAGTTTTTACGGTAGAGTCAACTTGTAAACGGCTATCCAGTCTTTCTATAACTCCTGGACTTTTATTTCTTGCAAAGAGGTCTGGTGAAAAAATTGCCAATATATAAACTTGAAGAGAAAAAAAATCCTTCTGGTGAAATAAGTAAAAGTACAGAGTACAATTGTGGTGTTATACTTGCCATAATATGCAAACCTGATGGAAGTAGACTACTTGATTAATTTTTTTTTTAAGTAAAAAGTTCGTTAAAAAGGAAAATATAGGAAACTTTCATACAAAAAAAGAAAAACAAACAAACAATAACAAACAGGAAGGGGGGAGGGTAAGAAACCTACCGTTTATCATAAACACCACGCTAACGGCAGGGTCACCGTGTCTCTCAAAAAATCGCAGCAGAAAAAGTAGAAAAACATTTATACCAAAATAACAGAACAAAACAAAACGAAACAAAGTAAAAGCAAAACAAAGCACATACACACACTTACACACAACAAGAAGTACTCATTATGACGATTTATTTTTAAAAGACTACCTATTAAATAAGACCTTTTTCTGGGTACGCGAAAATGTCCCCATAATTTGAACAGACCCCACTTTGCTGGTGTATTTTCATATGAATGTCCCCGTAAGTGTGCAACGATGGACTCAAATTCGTGTCATCAGGAAAACTTGGCTGTGCCTCTCTCCTCCTCAAACAGGAGTTTTAATTGTTACTGGAGAATTTTCTTAAGGATACGTGACAAAATGCAGGTGGAGGGGGGGGGGGGAGGGAGGATTAGAAATCCTTGTATAGCAAAAACAACGCATTAACAGCAAGGCGACCGTGTCTCTCACAAAATTTCAGAAATGTATTACCGGCAGATATGTACACTTAAGATATCTTTTGATAACCATTTTTACCCATCAGTGCTGATCTAAAAAAAAATCTACATAGGTTAACAAACATAATAAGTGTATAACAAAATCTTACCAATCATTCTTGAATGACGGCTTTCAAAGTTTCCGAGCCTCCAATAACAAAAATTGTTGTTACAAAACGACACTAGAATGACGATGGCATTTTGAACTAACACTGTAACGGCAGCGAAAAACGCCAGCAACAGAAAGCAACGTTTTTTCGATAACGAGCGCTGAAACCTCATCTCATAACAAAAGAATAAGTTTTAAACTGACTTCATACAAAAAATATAAATTTTCCATAAAGAAAAGGTAAATATCGTGGAAATTTTTGGCTAAGATATACTGTTGTCATAGTTTCCTTTTTTCACCTTAAAACTGTTGTCATGGAACTTGAAAGTAATTAAAGAACAATCTTGACACATTCGAATGTTTCGCACTTGTCCTTTTTGCATGAAAAATAAAAAATACTAATCGAAGATTTGATTTTGATTTTGAACAATTATATATATTCTCTAAGCTTATGAATTGGCAGAAAATCGAAGATTTTATTTTGATTTTGAACAATTATATATATTCTCTAAGCTTATGAATTGGCAGAAAAAAGTAAACAAAGCGTAGTGGAATTGATGCCATCGACGGTAGAGTGAAAGAGCTTCGTGGTATAATGAATAACGATTGATGTTAGCATGCGATTTAATACAATGATACGTCCTCACGTGCAAGTAAATGAGCAGAATCGATCAAGAATGGTGTTGCACCTATCAAAAAAGCCAAGTCTCGCTATCGAGATGACCGAGGAATCAAAACAAGAGAGCATACCCAAATCACTAGGTCCAAACGAACACCTTCACGGAAACGGCAAGAAAAAGAAAGGCTTCAGTGTATTTGGGTGTATTTCAAAACTGTCTAAAGAATTTATTCATGAATTGATAAAGAGACTCTTAATTAAACAAGATTTCAGTCTAATGCCATACTCCATTATATGCGGTTTGTTTATGAATCAAAACAATGGCGAAAAAATAAATTACTTCTAAGACTGAGTCTTTTTTTTTAAATAGTACATGTATGGAGTTACACATAAATCTTCCCCTACCTTTCAGGTAGCCTGCATGATGCTCTACTCAGCATTTATACCAAGCTCAGGTTGAAGAAGAGGTTATGCGCGGGCAACAAGTAAGAGCCGATGAATAAGCCTTCGCCACTTGCATAAAATCAACGAGTTATGTCATACGTTCCAGTCGGTAGTTCAACAAAATTGTTTATTCAAGATTTTCTTTGTGCATTCGTAACCGGAATTTTGATTTCCGTCCTGTGATACTTTGCACATATGTCGGCTGCCAAAAATTCCAGTGTGCAATGGCACTGTTTTTCACTGAGACCTCGACAAGTTTTTGGCTGCCTTCATTGAGTACGCTCATTTAATGAGTTCTTTGTCACGTTGAGGTCATATCCGACGTTCAAATGTGAATGCCACTGTCTCTAAAGATAAACACATAAATGAAACATGATATTGGTTTTCATTCATCTGAGATATTATAAAAAGTATCCAAGGGATGAGATGAAAATTAAAAGACGTAAAAACCTTCCTGCCAGGCCATCCCCGGTCTCGTTTCTTTGACGGTTACGCGGCGAGGGGGTCAATCCTGCTTGACTACCATGAAGACGCTAAAAAATAGATTGCAAAAGGGTAACGCCTCTCGGTATTTTAGCGCGGCTTAGAAACTAGCTCAAGGTCGTGTAGAGAGGCACCGAGGATTTACTTTAAGCTTGTCACTGCTCACTTATAGGGCACGACGTGATGCAGGTTAGATAAGATGTCCCCATCCAGAACTTCCAATAAAGCACAGGAAAGTATAATGCCATGTGAGTAGTGATTAATAGAGCTTCTTTTTACTATTGGTCAATGGAAATTAAGCCTCTGAGTTGTGAAAGACAGTAACATAAATCAAAGCGCGATGAGTTTGTGTTAAACGATATATACTATAAGCCATGGTACCATTTCACGTCATGCCTTTTAATAGCGGCGCCAACACTTTTCAAGGCTACCACAATTGTAAATTGCTGCGTTGTATGACAGACATCAAATTACTCCAAGACGTTTTTCCCCTGAGGTTCCTATCAAGTGAAGGAGGAAAAAGCTTCACGACATGATTTTGACATTTCTGACACTGTCACGTCTCTCTGATGTATCCTGTTGTTCACATATCACCTCTAAGAAATGAAATTATAGCACATCAACTGGACATCTTTGTGTTTTGCGTCAATGCGCATTAAACAATTTGATCGCAAACGGACAGGAAATTAGCTTCAAGCCCAAGTAGAAATTTGTTAATTCATCTTGGTCAAACAACTCAAGGGATTATGGAGATACACATGCCGCACGTCACAATTAGAAAATTGGAGCACCAATGCTTAAAGGGGTCATTATGTGGACTTTAATGAAAGAAATTGCGGTAGCGCTGAAAATAATTAGATTAGTTGCACTAAAGCAAATATCCTCAAAGGACTCAGCGTCAGATATTGAATAATCCCTCGTCAAATAAATTCTAATCCCATTATCAACTATTGCAGAATAACTCCAAGATCTGACAAAGCTATTTTCAGGTCAAATCTGACGTTGCGAGAAAACTCCAAGATTAAGGGTGTCAACAAGTTAATTTTTTTTACCTGCTCATTGCACAACACCCGTTGAGAGACCAATTTGAGTTCTTCTTACTCTTTTTTGCTTGAAAAAAAATTGCTTAGCAACCTTACCAATCATCATTTCGGTCTCTTTTTTAACAAGCCAATGCGGAAAAAAAATTTTGATTTATGCCAGTCAGCAGTTTGCTTTTAGGCTTGATAATTGATACGTTCCTGATTTTTTTGGCCATTTAGATCGTATATTGCGTAAGAGATAGTTTCCTCTTACTAAAAAAAACAAAAGCTATTTCAACGCCTACGCGCGATCTAGGGTAGATAATGCTAGATTTAAGTGGGCCTGCCATGAGAAACAAGCAACTTTGCAATCAAGGCACTGTTGAAGAATCAAGATGCAAGAATAGTCCTATAAAGTGCACCTCAGTGTTTTCTCAGACCGGCGGAAACACTTTTTGGACTGTATTCTTCCGGTTAAAGCTATATAAAAAGTGATTGCACAGATTTAAAGAACCAGGCTGCAGGCGTGAAAATGGAAAGTAAATTTGTAAGTAATTATTCAAGCAAACCCGAAAACGATTTCACTCGTCTTGAGACAATCGTTGTCATAAATTGTGTCCTCAATGTTCCACTAATGCTCTTGTCCATCTTTGGAAACATCTTGGTGCTGGCTGCCATTCTAAAAACATCATCTACTTCATCTATTTCTTCTTCAAACACAGTTTTCCTCTACAGTTTGGCCCTTTCAGATCTTCTCGTTGGCGTGGTTGTACAACCGGTTTACATTGCAAATGCCGCAACTGGGATGACTTATCTGCAGACAACTATGGCTACCTTAGCCTTTGCAGCTAGCGGTGTCTCCCTCTTCACTATGACAGCCATAGCAGTTGATCGTTCCTTATCTCTTCACTACCACATGCGATACCCGCAACTGATGACAAAAAGTCGCGCCAGGTACCTAATGGTAACTCTTTGGATCATCGCCGTGTTGCTATCCTTCTCGCATCATCTGAGCGATCTCACCTACTTCCTAGCCATTGCTCTCTGTATCATCCTTTGCCTTATGACTTGCAGTGCTTGTTACATTGACATTTATCGTATTGTTCGTCAGCATCAGTTACAGATTCAAACCCAACAACAAGCGGTATTAAATGCTGAATATAATCATACCGTGAAGAAATCAACCAAAAGTGCCAAAAACACTTTTATCTATTTCATTACTATGGTTCTTTGTTATTTACCGATGTTTATCACCAAGGCAATAATTTCCGTTTTCCCCGATCTGTGGACAAATGCATGGATCTTCACAGAAACGGTCGTGTTCATGAACTCAGCCATCAATCCCTTCCTATACTGTTGGCGCCTTCGCGAGCTCCGGGTGGCAGTTTTAAAGATATTACAGTGAATCTCAAGTCAACAGATGGAGGAGAACTGGTAGGCTTAATGAAAATTGCTGACTCATTGTAGCAGAGACGCCGGTACATGAAGACACAAGGCTGTTTGTGTTCAGAAACCAGATTATGAACCACCACTGACAAGACATCTTGTTTTAATGTCGAGGTTTACACAAGAGAAACTCGAATTTAGATTTTTATTACAGTATAACCATGAAATATTTAACATAATACAAATACATTTTATTATTACGGCTCCCCTATGCGAGGCTATTCTGTCGTAATATACCATGATAGTAAATACACGATAATAAACTACAATTGGGGAAAATATCTACATGTGTTGCAAAAAAAAAGAGTAATGAAGTCTAGAAAACCTCTTAAAGATAAACAAGACATCATCCGTAAGATTTTGATTAAAACTCTGAGTGACTTATCCTATATAATCGCTTGACTTGAGTGAAAATTTGTTTGATGTTTAATGCTGGTAATTTGAAAAAGAAAAAATATATATATTTGGATTGAAAGAGAGCTTTTCCCCCGTGGTTCCTCAGGATCTTTACCCGAGCAAGTTTTTTTTCATATAACTCTTATTGCAAAACCTTGATGCAAAAATACATAAATATTTCAAAGCGTGATTCATTTGCATTCAGAAGACAATAAAAGAGAAACGGGTCATGAAAACGTTTTGAATTAAGTTTAGCATTGATGTCTCTAGAAACAGTGGAGATGTGTCTCATCAATACATGGCTCGGACTCCTGCTGTACGGTCGTCTGATATTGTCATCACTCGTATGATTACAGACCAAATTGGACTCCACTCAGTCATATTACCTTTACCTTTTCAAAATTGAGAATATGCCTAATAAAGATGTAGAAAAAGTAATTAAAGGTTCTTGAAGCTACGTTTCCTGGTATCTTTTATCTTTATTGGATCAGTTTACCTTGAACGACTTTTCAGGACAATGCAACAAATCAGCAAACATGGGGGGGGGTTTCCTCACAGCCGGTCTGAGAATACACTGAGGTGCACTTTAAAGGAATATTCTTGCATCCTGAATCTTCAACAGTGCCTTGATTGCAAAGTTGCTTCTTTTTTATGGCAGGCCTACTTAAATCTAGCATTACCTACCCTAGATCGCGCGAAGGCGTTGGAATAGCTTATGTTTTTTTGAGTAAGCGGAAACTATCTCTTACGCAATCGATTTAAATGGCCAAAAAATTATAATATTTCGGGGGTTTTCAATCCGCAAGTGAAATTTTTTTTAAATGATTGATTTGATCGTAAAATCGTTTGAATGACCAAAGTAATTCCATACCCAGCTAGCGATATTGATAAAATAATAAAACTTGATTGTGTAAATCATTTTAAAATTATAAATTACTAAATCAATTTAAAACCCAGCAAGTGCTTTAAAAGAAAAAAAAACTGGACTTCCGTCACAGATGGCTTTGTATTGTTCCAGTCTCACCCGACAGGGTGAAAAACATATCTTTTGAAAAGAAAATCAAACCTTTGAAAATGGTTAACGAACTGGAGCATTGTATGTGCTGAGGTTTTAAAAACTCCTACGCATATCTGATGACATGGTTGAATTCAACAAAGAGTTGTTACAAGCTAAGCTGACTAACTAACCTCTTTACACATCGCAAGTTATACACTTATTTTCGACCTGTACCAATAATAGCAAGCAAGCAGAAATTATGCGTAAGGAGAAACACGCCTGACAATTTCTGACAATATATTCATGTATGTTCCTCTCTTAACTTTCTCTTATTCGGTATGATATTACATAGACAGCATGGGTCTGTTTTACACATCAACCTTTTACATCCTATGCTTAATAACACACAAAACAACGTTAGTTGAGTACCTAAGCAACTGTTTATGGTCAGTTTCTGCTCACGATACTTTACGAACGATACAACGATACTCACCGAATAAAAGTGATATTTTCGGCGTAAAAAAATCATTGACGATATTAATTTTTGCCAACTCCGTGTCTAATCCCATGCGTGGGTCTCAGTATTTCACAATCTACCCGGGGGATTGTACATAAGAGCCAATCTGCTTTCATCTATCGCATAAAACTGGTATCAGCTGCCAATATATTGGCATCAACCTTCAAAATTGGCTTTTCTTCGCTTAATTAAGTTACGCGAAGACAAGCCGATTTTGAAGTTAAATTAAAATTCTGTTCAAATACACAACTCAAATCGACGCACCCCGATACTCCAAAACAAAAGCATATGGGCCAAAATGGTAGACGAAACAAGGACGAATACTCCCAACACATCTGAGACCTTAAACATCGTAAACGTCGCCTTAAATGTGCCGCTGATGTTCATGGCGATTATCGGTAATGCACTGGTGCTGGTGGCTACGTTGAGGACTCCTTCGCTTCGTTCAGCGTCCATAATTCTTCTGTGCAACTTGACCCTTTCTGATCTTCTGGTTGGTTTTTTAGCTCAACCACTTTACATTGCCAGGGAAATAACCAGAGAGAGATCTCTGCGTCAGATAATGGAGACAGTAGCGTTTTCTGTGTGTGGTGCTTCACTTTCAT